TGCTGAAGGAGCATTATCCCCCCCCCAACCCCCAAACTCTGGCCCATTAACAACGGCATTTCACTATAAACACTTGGATTTATCGAGGACCTTTCTATTCACTGCAAGTCTGGCATGACATCCTTTTATTGCAGGAGAAGTGAGAAAGATCCTGTTTCAAAGTCACATGCACGCAATAGCTACACACAATGTCTGAGTGTTGTCCAGTGTCGTCCTCTGCAGGCTTCACATCACATATACAGTACAGTAAATGCTTATCATCAAAATAGCTGTTTTCTCTTCTATTGCAGCTTTTAGAGGAATTCAGACAAACTGCTGTGTGTGAGTGCATGTGTGTGTCAGTATCATCTTGCGTCGCGTTTGGTGGTAGGAAGAGTTTCTCCTCCGCAATTTGTTCTTGTAAGTGATGACAGTAGCTGTATCTCCCCCACATCCCAGTTTTCCACTACACTATTCAAGTGTAGCTTGAATGTCTGTACTCCAGCTGGCATATTGGTTGATTGGCCCTCATCTGGAATTCACATTCTGCTGTGCTTCAAATTTGGGTCTGACGCTACCTTCTCTGGAGTTATGTCAGACTTAACGATGGTTGAAAAGATCAGAATATCTGGCCAGGAATCATTTTTCACTTGTCTTTAAATTTGAGACCAGATCTTTTTGACAAAAACAACACTGGCAACCCAGTGAGAGTAAGGCTGGATTACAAATGTACTAATTTATTCAGTGATATGCACAACAGGAAAGCAATATAATCTTAAATTATAAGTGCCCCAGGGCAGCTCCTGCATTTATGATGAACCATGATTGACCATGAACCAAGATCAAACTAAGTAGGGTATCCTGGTCTCTTTCTGGCCCACAGTCCATTGTTACTTCGAGACCCCTTAGTGAGATAATCACTGTGTGAAGGAGTAATCTTCAGCACCACTTCAGCAAAAGAAAAGCCTACATTTCCCAGAAATACAATTTGTACCAGACTAAATCTAAACAAATTACACCAACCATAAAGGTTCATCTCTTTTGCTAAATTTATGCACCAAAAAGTATGTTTGGTGTACCCTCACTATAGCTTTCCTATAGTCTCTTGTCTTTCTTCTGGTGGCTCCTCTTGTTAGGTATTTTTAGTCAGATAGATATTGGTTAGGTACTTGTTGTATTAGAAATGTCTTTAGTGTAGACAGGATGTCTAGCTCAGGCTGTTAAATGCTTACTCATTTCCAATGTTTTGACTACTGCTACGGTCAGCTGTGAAGCTGGCATATCAGGTGATGTCACGGTTTGACGTGCCTGTGTAGAATGGGGTTAGCCCAAACCAGATATAATGTACAGGCCTGTTGGGTTCGGGGTGTCTTCATCGTTCATCTGCCTGCGCGCAGTATTGGAGGTGAAGGATACCTGAGCGTGTGATGTTAATTTTACCTGTGATCCTTGAATAAACCAGCACGGTTTTTTGTAGCCACTTGGACCGCCTCGTCTCTCTGAGGTCAACTGGTAAAGCATAACTGGGAAAATATCCTTCACTCTCCTCCCATCAGATCTGCTCAATCAGCCCAGAGTGAGAGAAACTGCAGCAGCCAAAGGGATTACAACAACAGCTCCTTTATCCAACAGCACCCCAAAGAGTGTGAGATCACAACCTGTATGTGTCTGTGTGTATTCCAGAGAGTTAGAAGAAGAGTCTCTAATCACACCCCATCCATTAGCTGCTGGCAAGGATGGAGGAAAGTGAATGTTGTAGCACAATCTTGTATCACTCACTAATTCATGTTGAGTGGCCCAGTCATAATTTGGCTTAATATATGGAGAGAGACCTGACAAGAGATGCAACAAAAGATACATAAATCTGCAGAGAGGGAAAGAAGGGAAGCAACTAAGGGAAAGTTGTAGAGGACCTGAGTCCTTCAGGCATTCACATTCCTAAGTGTGTGTGTGTGTGTTTTATTGTCCAAATAAAGTTAGACAAGATGACCTTGAAGGAGCGATAATATTCAGTTGAGAAGAGAAACTGTTCCAGGTTTGATCAGGGGTCAGCAGCCAGTGATGTACATAGTTTCACACATGCACAATATACACACACCCACTGGGTAAACACTGAGTAATTATGACTGACAGTGTAAAGTGTGCCACACTTGCTAAGTGATCCTCTCTTTGATGCTGTGTATCTATTTCAAACAGTGAATTGTAAATTGCTTTGTTACCGGATGTCGTTACTGTGGTGAGGTCATTATTGTAACGGCAGATAGTGTAGAAAATGGCAGACCTCTGATCAGACTCACGAGGGCTGAAGTGGTTAAATGAACCATCAAACAAGTCGTGGTCTTTCTAAGTCTAACACAACAACCTGGTAACAACCTTGTCCAAAAATCCTTCTTTAATTTGGATTTTTATTAAAACAAACTATATATGTGCTTAAATTATCTTTCGTGTGTGATTTTTCTCATATCTTTGAATTTCAGTGTTTCTGTATATATCTATATGCATTTACTAATAATTTGTCTGGAATAAAACTGTATTAAAAGGACACAGGAGACATTTGGACTTGAAATACCAGGAGAAGCACAAGTGTTACTAACTAATAACATTAATGGTGGCTCTGGTCCAATGAAATGTCTCAGGCAACTTCACTTGTACAGCATCACTACTCTGGAACTGGCACACTTAAATGGAAAGTAGCCATTACTAATGTTCATTTCATCTTTGCTTTTAGGGCAAAAACATGTAGGAGACGCTCAGAATAAATGACAGCACCTGTAACAGTTGCCAAGTAAAAACTGTGTTCATCCCCACAGCAGCATCGTTTACCAAGGGGAACCAGTGGCTTCGACCCCACTGAACTGCCCTGGTTTGGACAGTTTCACCCAACAGAAACAATACTGACAGATTTTTTTGAACATCTAGAGATAAAATGCCACTATCATCTTCATTCAACAGACTTTAAAATAGTGAGATGTGTCATGGAGTATGTCCATCTTGACACCACTTGCCTCTACCTATAAGTGAATGAATAGTGTTATACAGAATGCTCTCCGACACCTTCTGCTTCTCTTTAGCGTCACTGAATTCCCCATACACTTACATAGAGTGAGAAACAAAGGAGCAAATGACCAGACTAAATAGTTTACTCCTCGCAAACTACAGTCAAGCTCAGTCGCACTGTCCCACACATTTTCTTCTGTACGTGCACCACAGTATTTATAGGTGCCACTTCAATCCATAACTTTCCTGTTCAGTCAGTCTCTCATGAGACACAGGAAAGTGATTAGTTCACGTGAAGACAGGCACAAATATGCCTTTCAAACAGCATAAACTATGACAAGCCACACACACTATACACATGTAGAAGTAGTATGACAGAGACAGTTCATTAACAGTTGCTGTTTCAACAGGCGTCTGCCTGATAAGCATGGGTGTGAGCGTGTGTGATTCTGTGTGTTTAATGGAGCAGGCGAGCTGTCACTACTCCTGCTGTAAAGGTGTTCAACCTGTTCTCTGAAGTTGTGTTGACAGATCCTAACTACAGGATTTTGATGTTTGTATAGAGTCTGTTTCGTATTTCTCCCAGGAAGAGCAATGATGTGAACATGTCAAAGGACATGATACCAAAACACTGCCCACCACTATTCTTCCAACCCACAGAAAGAACTAGGATAAGGCTTTTTTTGATTATTTCAAAACAAATCTTCTGTGAATGAGCTCGGCCTTGTATAATGTCAAGGTCTGTTAACAGTTTACAGACATAATTGAAGGACTCCTGGTATGTAATGTTACTTTTTACACACACCAAGATCATATTAAACCATTTCACATACTTTTGATCTCAAGCGAGATATTCGTTTGATGCAAAAAATGTCAGTACAAGACTTATTCCATATATTTCACAACATGGAAGGTCCTGTCAGGCATCATAGCTGCCAAGGTACAGGTCCACATGAACCAGTACACGAGCACAGCTCAGAAGAGCATTGGGAAAAACAGAGGGTCTAAACACCAGTTGCTGATAGACAGAGCAGTCGCCAATAACTCAAGATCCAGACAGACCAACCTGAGTACAGCACAGAATGTGGAAGGTGAAGGCCAAAGTGGTCCCGGTAGTGGGAGCACTCGGAGCTTTGACTTCTAAACTGGAAGAGTGGCCCCAACGGATCCCAGGAACAACATCAGAGCTTTCTGCCCAGAAAAGTGCAGTGCCAAGTACAGCTCACATACTGCAGAGAGCCCTCAGACTCCTCTGGTAGAGGGCCTGAGGTCGTGGAAGAAGCACACCTTCCTGTAGGGGTGAGAAGGTACAGTGTAAATCATGAATTTATTAAAAGAGGTGATCATGATGTGTTTGGATTCCTTAATGTTTTAATTTTTTGGTAAGAAAAAGATACTTGACACAAACTTTCCTTATTCTAACACTAATGCTTCTATAATGTCACAGATTTCTTCTATTTAATGTTAATGCATGTTTTTCCTAAAATTATTGAGCAAGGACATGTCCCAAAGGTACTGAGACCCGGTAGCTCCAGATGTCATGGCAGAATAATGGCAGCTCTTCACTGCATTGACACTATCAATATCACTCTACATGTGTGTTCATACAACTAGGAATTTTATGTTCTTGTTGTATAATTTGTTTTTTAGGCACTAATAGTTTTTCAACCTGTACCCAACCTTTCAGTTCCACACAAACTATCAAATTTTCCTTACCATCTTTATCATGCATCATTTGCTGAATTCCAAAGCATCACTCTCACAGCTGTTTGCACACAGGCTATGTGTCCACAAGCAGAAATTGTTTTCACTCTTAAGGGTCAAAGTTGAAATCTGCACCTGTGTTCAAGACTAAACAACTGTACCTGCCTGGAACTAAAAATAAATACCAGAGAACACACACAAACTCGTCATGTTTCTGGTAGTACAGATGTGGCTTAGGGCATTGCCTCCTCTCCCATTATTTGCTATTCACCAGAACAAAAGACATAAAATCTTTTATACACACCCAGGCATGGCAAAATGCAAGAACCTTCTATTATGTCATGTTCACATAGCTAGCAAAGCATTCGCCAGCATTTAAAGAAATCAAAGGAGGGCTCCCATCATTTCAGAGCCGCGAGAACGGCCCCTCTGCTCAGTCTTTATTCAATGAGTGCAATTCAGCGTCATAAACAATCAGACATTGATAAGAAGGACAGCTTCCATTTTTGTGTACTCAGCGGGGAGACTGATACACATCTTGTGGATTAATGAACTGTTTGAAATTATTTGGGGCACAGTACACAACCATTACTGGCCAGCACAGATATTGAAACCGAGGTGTTCACAAGCTGAAAACAGGTTCATAGCTACAGTTCATGGCTATGTGAATGCTACTCTAGTCTGCCCTGCCAATAATGGTAAATATTTAGTTGATCGAACACTTAAAGGGGGTGAAACTGTGTATATTATATAATGGCTGACAAGAACATTATATTTATGGAATGAAAATAATTTAAATAAATTAAACTTGGTTCACATACCTCAGAGCTACTGGTAACTGTAGGAAACATTTGAAAAAAGTTTAAAGAAAATTCTATTGGACTACATTTCAAATTAAAGGTTCAGTTAATCAAAGCCTAAAAGAACTTTTGCTGATACATGAATTGCCATACTGACTGTTACACTGAAAGGGTGCTGAGTACTGATCCATGACAGGACATTACATTGTTAGATTAACAGTAAAAAGTCCTCAGATAGGGTAAATTTGCTTTGGATTTTATGGTTGAGGTGCTTTTATACTGCAACAAACCAATAAGAAATGTTTTATTAAGGACTGAATGCCTGTGTGTAACCCAAACTAGATGTCCAAGTATGTTGTTTTTCATAAAGGTGGTGCGGATTTGTAGTCAGTTCTAACTTTTATTTGCAAAATAAATGCTTGGATGGGTGAAAATAAATATCTGGCCCTGGGACAGCAAAGTTTATGAATTTACAAGACATTACAAAAGTGACACTACCGCCCTCTGCTGACTACCTTTCCAGCCCAAAGTTTGAACGTTCTTCTCATTTATCCTTTAGGACAAATGTAGCAGTCACTAGAATGCCTTAAAACCATCTCTGGATTAACTAGGTCTATAATACTACTCCTAGAAGAGCAAATCAACATAGCTCAAACCATTTCATGTCTTGTAATAATGCAGCAGAAACTCCAATGGTCTTAGAAGATGCCTTTCTTATCTGCTATGTCTGTAAGGGATGGGACAACTGAGGTGGATTTTAATCAGATTCTATGTGCATATTGACTTCAGCTTCTCCTCAAAGGGAGGGCAGAGGAATATTAGAGCAGATTAAATCTAGGAGATAACTAAATCTCAGCCTCCACATACTGCGTTTTCCTCTTGTTGTGCTGGTGCTTGGTGAGTCCATACTTAAAGAACTCATAGACTGACCAGCTGATGGCTGTGGAGGGCATCTGGTAGATGATCCTTGCCTGGACTCCCTTGAAGAAGCCTTGCAGGCCACCCAGCCTGTAAACTGTCCGGAATGCATGGGCTAGGCCTGAAATGTGTCTGCGGGCTCCTTGGCCTTGGCCAGAAGACAGAGGGCTGAGGGTTAGCGACTCCTGGGTGTTGAGCAGGGTCTTACAGACGTCCAGAGGTGTTGTGGCTGCAGCTGCAATGGCTCCAGCCAAAGCTCCGGACAACATGTGGGATGAAGGATTGTACTGTCTGTGGGGGTTGAGCAGCTCCTGAAGGTACTCGTAGGTCATGAAGTGGAGCGCCTGGAAGGGCACGTTCATTGTGAGCTGGGTAGTGTAGCTACGGTAGAAAGCAGCAGAGCCCTCTTTCTGCCACACGGCACGTACACAGTCCAACACGCCACGGTAGGGTGAGTTATACATCTGCATGCGTTGCTTCACAACTTGGGACACACACAGGTAAATGTATTTATAGAGGACAAGGCCAAACGTGTCCAGGGATGGCAGTAGGAAGGTGAAAAAGAAAAAAGAAATTAGTGAGCCATTACCTGAAGTCAAGCTGTAAACCACGTGTAGTTCCAGTAAACATGCCGAAAGATGTAGTGTACCATTTTAATAGTACTGGCACAGGCAGCTGCAGCCCATCTAACAGCTGCACATGAGAACTCAGGCCAGTGTCCTTCTACTGACATGTTTAGGCAGGTGGACTACAGACAGTTTTGAAAGTCAATATGTGAGACTACAGGGTTAAGGCCAACATCTGAAGATAGCTGGCTCAGACATGGCACCTGTAAGTTTCTTCACAAAAATTTCTATATGTCAAGCTTCTGTTTTGAGAGAGAAAATGTCTTAATACCAGTCCTAATTCTGCAGCCAAAGACAAAACAGCACTGTACTGTAAAACGTTGCCTTACCCTCAGCTGGGTTCATGACTGCATCGTGAAGCAGTGTGGCCACACACCCAGCTACTCCTGAAACAAACACGTCAGAAATCACTACACACTGAGAAAGGAGCATTAAGAATATACCATATGAACAGAAAAGACTTTAGTAAAGAGGCATAGAATAAGAAGGAAAAAGCATTTTGAACATTAAACACCCTGTTGATCATGTCACAGCCTCCACTGCCTTATTCCCAAAAGCTGCGGACTCAAAACAATATATGATCATAGTGAAATCTCCACAGGTTTATGCTACAAATCACTCCTGATTGAATTCAGGAAGCCAAACCTGAGCAAAGAGGGACACCTAGTGGACAAGGCATTTCATTGCTCCTTTGATATTCAAACCCAAACCTTTTACAAGACAGGACCAACAGAGGAGAGAGCAGATGAGATGGGAGAAAGAGGACTTACCCAGCCCCCCACTAAACTGGAAAAGGGAAAAGAGAGTAGGGAGAACAAAAAATAAGTAAACAGTTAACATTCAGATCTTTGACAGAATCTATTTTGTAGTTGAGGTGACTTTGCTGAACTTGACCAAAATAACACAATTTGTTTAACTTTCCTAAAAGCCACCAACAGATCAATAGCTGCACCTGGCGCTTCCTTATAATATACAACTGCAACTGCTTTATGAAAAGGTTCTATCCGATCCGGTGGCCTGCAAGGGGTTCAGATCAGGCCAAGACTGCTCTTTACTGTACATGGATTAGGGTGAGTCAGCAGCTTCACAGAGATCACATGAAGGGTGTTAGGCATTAGGCTTGAATTAGGTAAAATCCTAAATATCAAAATATTTTATTATGCTACAATAGTCATGCATGTTTATGTGTGTATAAGTATGTTTTTTGGTACCATTAGCCAAATGACTGTTAGCCCCTGGGTGAATGACATCACTTAGAGTCTTTTTAAGTTTCTCATAGCTGGCAAAATAGAGCGCATGGGCAGGTCCTGCCCCAACTGCTGTCACATTCAGCCCTCTCATTGGTCGCCAGACTCCCTCTGTGGCCACGATTCGGTAAAGAGCATCCATCACGTTCCTGTAGCGGGCTGCGGGGTCAGGCTGGAGGCTCTGCATTCGTGTCTGGTGAGAGGAGTAATCAGAATCAGCTTCATTGGCCAAGGGTGTTCAAACACACAAGGAACTTGACTCTGATACAGAGAATAAGTGTAAGGTAGCAAAGTTTACTCAACAGTTGGCTCCCTTCCCACCCCCAGGACTGGATATTAAGCTCAGTAACATGTTCAGTGAGTGTGTTTACACGGACAAGAGTATTACAATTATGACTGGGTATCCTGTTCTTGTGTTTGCACATGTAAACATTATACCCCAATTTCAGCTCTAATTCCAGTTTTGGAAACCTGAGGTGGTCCAAAAGAAACCAGGATAGTGTTGCATGTCCTATCCAGGTTTCTGAATGTTCCAGACTATCTGTGCAGGCACAACTGCAGGATCCAAGTGACTTAAGATAAACACAAACAAAGGCAACAGTGAAAGCATCTCACTTTTGGAGCAATGAAGAGATGGAATTTTGTCTTTGTGTAATGAAAGAGTTCAGTTTAATCGGTAATGTAGATGGGAGAAATCATAGAAATGCGGACCTCTTCAAATCTGTAATGGACAAGTTACAGGACACCAGTTTCTCAATATATAGGTATACATAATATATACAGTGGGACAAGTCAGATCATGGTGGAAAATCCTGAAGAAAAATTACTAACAAACATCACAACAAAAGAAGCGGGTCTAGTCCAGCAACTTTCAAATGCTTCAAAATATCGGATGACATGCTTAGTCACCATCCACTTTCCAGTGAAGAAGATGGAGGAGTTGACATCGGCTTTCCTTGTCCAACGGACACTGAGCCTCCAACTGGCAATACGTCGACTCCAGGCAGTGTTATATTGTAACAGTTTTTAACATCAGTGCAGGATACTCATGCCCATGTGAATACACTCAGTGATTCTGACTTCAATTGATATAAAAACAGAATGTAATGCATCATTTAGGTCTAACCATATGTCTGCCTATTACAGTTGAAACTAGTATGGCAATGAAAAGAGTTCTGAATAGACAACCACATGAATAAGAGGTCACATAAGGGAAATGAGGTGTCAACATTGTGTGTGTTGGTGAACATGTGTAACTGAATAGAAGGAAGTTAACATACTCCAAGGTCACAAGGGGACACAAACTGACTTCCTGTAAGCCCCTTAAACAACTGAGCCTTATGCAGACCTTTCTCCCTTCCTCCTAATATGCATACTGAGATAAATGATACATTATTTAAAAGACAAGTGCAAAGGATTAGTGTTGCAACCACCCGCTATTTGATTTTCAAACAAAGGCTGCCTGGGTATCAACTGGGTGAATCTGTGTCTCTGAGGAACAAGCTGTGACATAATCCCTGAATACCAAACTTCCAGCTGAATGGACAAACTTACATCCCACTGGGTGTGTGTGTGTGTGTGTTTGTGTGTAGTGTAACCACAGCGTCATGTCACTCTATACAGCTATGGAATGCAGGGCCTGAATAGCCCCAGAAAACAGTGGTACAAGTACAGTACATGCATCAAGTTGCTTCATGTCTGGAACACAAACAAATTCACAGCACTGTCACTCTTTGTATGCACATGAACAGAGGCTGCGATGTCAGTCATCTGCTCCTCATTCATTTAAGGCTGTGGATACAGACTCATAGAGGCCTTAGCAGCTACAGGTCTGCTGTGTTTACCTATAGCATGTGTTTGCATCCAGAAAGCAGTGACCTTTGTGCTCACTGCTAACACAATGTCCACCACTCTTTGGAGAAAAGCACTCAAGGCTTACTGGGTTCTTTATGAGTGATTACAAATTCCATTCATAAGCGCTGTGTAGTGTGCACTGAGACAGACCTACAAGTGCAATACACTTTTAAAATCCACAGTCAATTACTGAGACTCAGGACACATTAATAGCAAATAACGGTCTACTCAAAACCATAATTAGAGAATCTTGTTATTGAGAAACTTATCATACAGGGGGAAAATCCTTTATTTGGTAAAGGGGGAAATCTTGAAATGTGACAAACATGAAAGGAATATGTTTGAAGCATTGCAAATATTTCTCAAATTTCTGTGTGAATGTTTCAGATGTAGTTTAATTTTGCTGAGTCAGATAGCTCCAAATCAACTGACTCGCTTGGTGAGATATTGAACTCCATTACCAGTGTAGCAGTCACATGAGAAAGCTCTGTTAACATTGGTTTTGTTCTAATTCAGTGCTACAGCTGAGGGTGACTACAATATTGAAGAGACATGAATAAAGCTTAGGTGCATGAATAGCTTTTCTGACTGACAAAGACAGCTGATGCTACTAAGCTCTTTGCCATTTGCCCTGTCTCTAGTCTGCTTGTCATACTATGATCACTAGTACATGACTACATTTTTAGGCAGACCTTTTGGGGCAACAGGTTATGTCTCCTTAAATCTATTGACAGCAAAGGCAGAATCAAACTCATACATAAGATGACACAATAGGAACTGATTTGTGATTAAGACCTTTGAAAACAAATGTGTTACATGCAAAACACTAGGTCTGTGGCTCAATGCAACTACCACACTGTGTTGGGAAGGTAGGAGCAGATGCTCCACTGTGGATTGAAAGGGCCAAATTGTCCCCAAAATGCAGTGCAATTCATTCCTATGTGTTTCATAATAATAGCAAACAGAACATATGTTACTAGAAACAAGAACATTCGACCAACCCCTGATTTTGTAAAACGGAGTAGCCTATTGCTTTGCTCTCCCTTAACTTTTAACCGTTGTTGAAGCTGGTTCCTCTTATTAGATACTTCACTTAACTTCACTTACTTACACTAACAGCATACATGTTAGGAAGAAGACTACCTCCACGTCCTTAAACAGATAAGGACATGGAACAGGTATAATGTGTACGTACACATTAGGAGTTGGGAAACACTATATCCGGTGAGGCTTTGACAGCAAATCTGTTGTTCAGTAGTTTTAAGCGAAGTGACCAAATGGCCTCCTGTGTTTGACCAAGCTCCAAGTCAACATGTTAACTTGCCACTAGCTACCTTTAGTCGCGCTAAACTTATAATAGCATGCTAACAAGAGAGCTAGTTGGGCTGTGATACGCTAACTGCGCCAACTGACCTTGTCCTCACTGCGTGTTTACGTTAGCGAGCAAGCTAAGCTATGCTAATAAACATCTTGGCTATAAGAGAATTATACATGGAACACAACCGAGCCCGGTACATTCATAACAATGTGTGTGCCAGCTGGTTAGCCACTGAGCTATGCTACCTTGACACAGTCGATAGGGAACATGAGGCAGTGCTCCATGATCCCGGCCACGGCTCCAGCCAACATGTGGGTGCTAGTGGAAGCTCCTTGTGGCAAACCTTCATAGTCCGGTTCAGTGTCCTCTGTTTCTGCATCTTGTGCACTACTGACAAAATCAACAGTCTGCAGTTCTGTCTCGCCTCCGATCCGGGGTGTCAGGCTTCCCACGATACTTTCTGAAACTCCCCAGAATCTTCCCCTCAGCCATCGAATTTCTGCCCCGGCAGAGGCACCAGCAACCCCGGAATCATTGCCTGTAGTCTCCGCTGTCATCCGACGCCTCCTCACCAATCCATCTGCTTCCATAAGAAACCGAGTAAACTGTTTAGTCTTTGGGCACGCAGATACGGCCTCTTGTGGGTGATTTCAGTCTTAAAGTTTTACATTCCCTCGGAGTATTTTGAGTTACAGTGCTTCTAGCCTCCTACGATACTCCCTCCCCGCCTTTACCGTTCCCAGCCAGCCCAGAGCACAGCAAGTCACAGACGGAGCCGCACCGCAGGCCGCGATGAGGAAATTCACTCTGATTGGTCACCAGAGCCAGATCCTACTGACCCTATTGGGTAAGTGACATGCCAGTCATGATTGCATTTTGGCGAAGACTTCAAATCCTATCATGTGGCACTTGGCATGGGGTATACAGTATTACTAAGTGTATGTGGGAAGAATATCAAAAGACTTTGTAGGTCACTGCAGGTCAGTCTAAATACATCTGTAATAGCTGAGCATGAAACAAACAGTATAAGATCATTCTGTTTAAGATTGGTGTAATTTCTAATATTGTGCTTTTTCCCATAGCCGGATTTTTTGTAACTTACTTGTTTTTGTCTACATAAAGGAATCTAAGAAACCCAGACTGAAATCAGTGTATCTCCCCACAAGCAGTGGCTTTTAAAACCTACTCTTTACATATGTCAGTGACCACAGAAAACCATTTGATAGCCTATGTATTATGTCCCTATTTACTATTTTTATGGGTAACGTTATAGATTCTTGATAATCAGTTACTTAATCCATTAACATATGGACTTGACTGCTAAAATGTTTTACCAAATACAATGATAATGTGTTCATAAACAGGAACATAAACTATTCCAGTTGTTGATATTCTACAAAGTATTTACATTTTATTAAACTGTAACATTTTGATAGATTATTTAATTAATTCCTAAAATATTAATATACTTTTTTCATCATTGCATTGTATGTTCAGAATAGATTAGACAGACTTGTCTTTTATTTTGTGCCACAGGCAACCAAATGTTCATCTATGAGAGCCTATCATAATAACAACCACACCACTTAAAATCTTTTTTTTGGTCACATGACAGAAATTAACAATTTAAAAAAATTCATTATTCAAATTCGACATCCTCTTATCTTGGGTAACAACTTAAAGTGTCTTCATTGTGTTACAACAAGGAAAGAAAGACACTCAACACCTTTTATGGGCTGCTGGGAGACATTAGTTTATGATGTAATTATTATGAATGCTGAGAGGCCTAACATCCGTGAACATCTCTGCCTGCAGGCAAAGTATCAGATTTTTCCCTTGAAAATTAGGTAATTGTGTTTTTGTTATAACACAATTGGATTTTCTCCTTTATTGCCTGGGAGAGCCTTCAAGGACTGTAGTGTTGAATTTCTGCCGACATAGGGGAATGAAGTGTTAATTTCTGCTTACAAGAACAAAATCTCCTGCTTCTGATCTAGTTATGGTTGATTGGCTGTTGCCTGCAGACGTTCCTTAAAGGAAAATCTAGAAGGAGGATCATTTCTCTTCTCTGAAACTAATGCTGCTCTAATACACAAAGGGAGAGTCATGTTAGGCCTAGCAGGAAAATCTAGCTCCCCAACCCACCTCATTTAATTCCCTCTATTAAGAGAGTGCACAATTTATATAAACCTCAGGAATTATTTTACACCGTCTAAGCAAAACACAGTCAAAAATCCACATTATATAGATAAGATCAGGAGATAACTTGCTTATGTTCTGCTGTGTTTGGTTGTTTTTGTACCAGTTAACACTCCGCCTTCCTTAGATGATTTAATCTCCTTCTCTGGCTCTTTCTACTCCCTGGACTGCTGCTCACAGCAAGGCCTCTTATTCTATTAATGTATGGTAAGTGAACTACTATGACATCTTCATCAGCAGCGCTAAGAAACCCTTCTGTTAAGAGCTCATCTTACAACTCGGTTGTAAGGCTGTTAGATGATGTGCCCAACCTCTAACTGTGTCGCAAATGCACTTTTGATTACAATACATTTAAGGAATATTTTTTCAAATGAAAATGATTTATAAAGAAGTCACACATATAGATCTGGAAAGAGTCTGGATAAGAAAGTCTAGAGACATTGTTATTGAGCCACTGAGGTATTAATTCATAAAGTGGATGCTCATCTTTTAAGGTGTTGCCAATATCAACACAGTTTACACTACTCACACAACATGTAATGTGTTTCTGACTTTACTGACAGTGATGCAACTTTAAAGCTGTTGAATTGGTGGTACCATGAAGGATTTCGAAGGTGGTTTTAATGGAACAATTGTGCCACCAAACGGACAAAATGCGTAAGGACAAGCATTTTCTTGGCAGTCAAAAAAAGCAACAGGGGCTCAAACTTGGACAGATCTATTTTTATAAAGATACCATCATGCATGCAATTCTTGCCATCAATAAATACTCTGAAAGCGGGGATATAGTTATAACAGTCTGGTTTTACATAGTGGAAAAAACGCAGCATTTTGGCACCTTGTGTAATGTCCTTTTATATTTTTGGATCACTTCCCCGCACATTGGTCCAGATCCTTGTGGGGAATGTAATAGGTCACAGTCCTCGATCTAAAAAAAAAGCGAATGTGGCTTCGTACAGGGAAACGGAGGAGGGAGGAACTGATCTGGGATCTCGCCTCAAACTCCTGTCATGGCCGCAGCGGTGTGGACTGATCGCGCACGGAGGCCTGTGTCTTTTGTGGGGATAGTGATAAGATCCAGAACCAGCCACACCGCCATAAAGTCTCAGTATGACGCGGTGGTCGTCGGGGGAGGTGAGTTCAATGGACTGGTGGCAAGTCCAGAACGCAACTACGTACTTTGCAACATTGATACATTTCAGCTAAGTTTGCAAACGTGATTACGTAAGGATCTAACTTTGTTTAACAGCTGGCACAAGGTGCCAAAAAATGGCAAAAATCCTAGATTTCATTTGTCACAATGAACCTGGATTTTAAAAGCAATTTCAATGCAGAATGAACAGTTTAAAAAAAAAAACAGTTTGACATAGTTTACATTTAATTGCAGGACACAATGGACTGGTGGCAGTGAGTTCACGCATTAGTCAACACATTACACTGTAATACATTCTGTGGTTCAACAACAGGGTAAAAGGTGGTGTGTGTGTGTGTGTGTGTGTGTGTGTGTTTAGGCTGCCTATCTTCAGAAGGGAGGCCTGAAAACAGCAGTGTTGGAGCGCAGACATGTTCTGGGGGGAGCCGCTGTTACAGAGGAGCTCTTCCCTGGTAGGATGGTCTCTGGCTTTACAGTACTGTCTTAATTTGGTTCATTCAAATTAAACATTAAAAAACTATATTTTTTTGCGTTCATTTTATCTCAGCATACTCAGTGATACTGTAAATCAGACTACTTTGTAAGTAAGCAAGAGTGCATTTGAAAACTGCTGACAGTGTATTTTGTGGATTATCCAGAGTGACCGACACACACACAGTACATGACGAACAAAAATATCTTAGGCTTTATAACATGAGCAGTACGTCATTTTGGTGAACCGACCCGACACTGCAAGACATTATACAAGGTCTATAAGGTTGAATGAAGTATAGCGTGGTCTCTGCAAGACACTGTTAGAAAGCTTGGAATATAACTGTGGAATAAGAGCTGTGTCAGTTGTGTTTAATGTAGACCTTGATGACTCTGACTCGAGTAATGGGGACTCAACTCAGATTCGAAACATGACTTAGACTTGAATGCTGGGGACTCAACTACAACACTGGTAGGAAGCAGCATCAGGCATTAGAAGCAGAGCAGGCTGATGAGGGGACAGGTGCATCTTCAGTGTTTCAAGTGAGGCCCTAACTGGGCAGTGAGGTGTTGTCCCTATCAATGCTGAGACCAAACCTACATCCTTGTAGCACAGTATGGGTTTTATTCTTGTGAGACTAATAATAACACTCTCGTATGCAGGTTTCCGGTTTTCTAGGTGTTCCTATTTGCTCAGTTTGTTACGACCCCACATATACATGGACCTCGAGCTCAAGGTAAACACACCCTTCTTCAGTCTGCAAAAAAAAAAAGTTGCCTTGTTTGCAGCTATTTAATGTTTTAATTTTTTTGTTTTATCTCTGGGTATTTGTATTCAGAAACATGGACTGAAGGTGTATATGAGAGACCCCCATGCTTTCACCCCCATGTTGGAAGAAGGACTGAGAGGTGTTCCACCAAGGTCTCTCACCTTGGGCTCAGATCTGGCCAGGAACCAGTCGGAGATCGGCAAGTTCTCACCGAAAGATGCTAAAGTAATTTAGACATTATGATGGACTGTATGACCCTGCATTTATATACTTAAGCTTCTGTCACAGCACTGTGAACTGAAAAGGTTCCTCACTGTCTCTTCACCTTTATTTCTCCACCAGTATCAAGTAATTCTGTTTGTTTTCGGTCACTGTCACTTTGACCCATTCTTTGACATTTACCCAGGCTTTTCCAGATTTTGTTGCACACCTTGGGAAGCTTGCAGGAGCTATTCAGCCTCTCTTGGATGCTCCTCCTGTAGACATTCCAGGTGTCACCACTGGATCACTGAGGAGGAGGCTGGCTGCAGCTAAAACACTGATGCCCATTGTCAGATGTGGTAAGCTGGTGGACGGCTGCTTTGGGAAAACGTTTTGATATTTTGGATATTTTCACATTCTCCTCTTGTTTTGTGTAGTATCTTAGCCACGACGAGTTATCATGTTTTTGAATTTTAAGGTCTGAAACTAGGCCGAAACATTCCAGACTTTTACGAGATCATAACTGCACCAATAATGAAGGTTGGTTACCGTTGACACAGAGCTTGGCATTAATAGTTGTTCTCTACTGACAGCATTGTGACTAACTCATATCTTATGTTGTAGATCCTCAATCGGTGGTTTGAGTCAGAGCCACTGAGAGCAACACTCGCTACCGATGCTGTGATAGGAGCAATGACAAGTCCAAATAATCCTGGTAGTGGGTGAGACACGTTTTAGGATGTCCTGAGGCACACGAGCACTTACTCTACAGGTTTACATAATTAGAACTAAACAATAACCTCTCAAAATCACTGGTTTTATGGTTTTGCGTTGAAGTTATGTGCTCTTACACCACGTGATGGGAGAGTTGGAGAAGGAGACAGGAGCATGGGGTTATGTGGAGGGAGGCATGGGAGCCGTGTCTCAGGCTGTTGCTAGCGCTGCTCGATCATATGGTGTAGACATTTTTACTGAGAAGGTAATGTGGTTTTGATTAATTACACTGGTTTGATGCACTTTATTTTGTGGGTTGATAGAAATTATATTTCAGCATCTGTATTTTCTTCATATAAAATGTGTATGTTTGGCAGGATGTAGGACAGGTCCTGGTTGGTTCAGATGGTGCTGCTAAGGGAGTGGTGTTGAAGGATGGCGGAGAAATCCATAGTAAACTTGTTTTATCAAATGCTACCCCATACGTAACTTTTAACAACCTCATGCCACAGGTAATAAATAAATAAATAAATAACCACGGTGCTAACCAATACAATTTATTCTAGGATTCTGTATTCATTGCAGGGTGTCCTTTCTCCAGAGTTCATCAAAGCCATACATCAGATAGATTACACCTCTCCTGTTACAAAGATCAATGGTAAATAAATCTCTTCTGCTAGTTGCAAATCATGAACTTATGCAGAAGTGTCTTTAGTTTGTAGATGTTGCATTTAAATCCAAAAGGTGCTGACTGTCAAAATATTATAAATTTATAGTAACCACCCCAGAGATAAAGCTGCCTTGAAGAATGATAATACAGTCTACAGTGTCATGGTAAGCTTCAAAAGAAGCTGTAGGGCCTTATTACTCAGTTACGTTTTACTTCTAACTGATATTTTACTGTGCATTGATTCTTGGACTTTAATGATAGTGTACTCTGTTTTGTAGAATTTATTTTAACAGTCTTAACTTTAAAATGAAGGGATTGAGCAGTATTAGGCACAGCAATAGTACATCCGCCATAAACCTAAATTTGAGCACAGACTTTGTTTTCACCAAAATAGAAATTTACATTAGCCTATTTTTACAGTGGCTGTGGACAAGCTGCCAAACTTCTTAGCATCTCCCACACCAGATCATAAACCTGGACCCCACCATCAGTGTTCCATACATCTCAACTGTGAAAGTGTAGGAGTACTGGAGACTGCCTACAAACAGGCCATGAATGGACGTCCCTCTGTGAGGTACAAATATATCCATACTCCTACACAAGTGAACACTTCAGCACATAAAATTCGCTCTTACCTTTTCATATAAGATTCAACCATTTACATTCAGCAACAAATCTTCTCCATACTTAGCTGACAATACCTGTGAAAACATTATGGGAGGTACATACAGTATATGTTCTGGAAAAAAAACTGTTTCAGTTAATCTTCCAGCACAGATTTTGTCATATATAAGAGTTCGTCATACATCCCTTACTGTAGAAAATACAGGCCAAAATGTTAGGTGCTTGTTACTATAGATTAGAGATGAACCTTGCAGCTGCAAAAAGTAGTGGTTTTAAACGTAAGTAAAACAAAACTTTGAGCACTTTTTTACAGCTACATGTATTTTTTGTTTTTCTTCAGCAGAATGGGTTGGGAAATTCACATATCATTGAGTGAATAGGATTCTGTTCCCTAAACATGAGGTCTTCATCATTTTCTTCCATTAGTTAATAAAACTAGTTTTTTGCAGACTGCTGACCAAGTAATCTTTAACCAAAAGCAATATCAGAAATCATTTAACAATATTACATCTTCAGCTACTTTCTTAGCTTTCAAAATCTAAATAAAAAAAAAACAACAAAACAAAATAAAACAAAACACAAAAATACTTGTATTCTTATGTTCATTTATCTAAACCTTTCTTCAACATCTCACCCACCGGTCACTCACGACCATCTTGTTTCATCATGCTCCTCTATGCCTGTAGACCCATGATAGAGATGACCATCCCCTCTGTGCTGGATTCTACTCTGGCTCCCCCTGGCTGTCATGTGGTGTCACTGTTCACCCAATTCACCCCCTATCACATAGAAGGCAGGGAGTGGACGGACCAGGACCGAGAGGACTTTGCAGACACTGGTTAGACCAACTAACTAACTAACTAACTAACTAACTAAATAATTCAGTATTTCTTACAAATCCCAGTGTGCTGAAAATATGCATTGCTACATTTATTATTCAGTCACACGCATTTTAGCATAATATGCTTGAAGCTGATTTCAAACTGATACATGTTGTAATTTTAGAGTTAGAAGAGAAATCAAGATCCTGTTTAAAAACATGAACTTACTTCGAAACAGTCCTTTAAAATGTTGAATGGTAAAATTTTGCAAGTTTTTTTTTTTCTAAATTGTATAACCAACATTTAAAGGAATGAGTCTTTTTACTGATTAACCTGTTTAATTGTTTGTCTGTCTCTCTAGCATTTGACTGCATAGAGCAATATGCCCCTGGGTTTAAAAAGTCAGTTGTGGGACGGGACATCCTGGCTCCACCTGACTTGGAGAGGATCTTTGGCCTGACTGGAGGGGTACATAAACTGTACACACTCTAGTACTGAGCAGCAATTTTAATGATATTACATAGTTTATTTGCTTAACACAATCAACTATTCACTGGATGAAGTAGTCTAAGTCCCCTACAGTGTTTGCTCATCCACTCCCTACTCAGGGATGGATTTGCTGTATAAACAGTTAATGGTTAAAGGCAGTTTTATCATGACACAAGTCAGAATCAAAGTTCATATTCCCTGTGTAGAGTGACACTAACTCACTGAATGGTATTTTCTCCTGTTTATTACACGAGAATTTATGAGGCAGTCCTTAACAAACAGGTTTTCTTACTCATAATAACATAAATATATCAAGTAACAAAAAAGAAAAGTAAACATTTTGGTATTATCTTTGCAGAATGTCTTCCATGGATCAATGTCACTGGACCAGCTCTACCTAGCACGACCTTTGCCCTTTTTCTCAGACTATCGTTCACCAATTAAAGGACTGTATCTGTGTGGCAGTGGCTGTCATCCAGGTTTGCTTTTAATGCTTAACCCTCAGATAAATATGGAACTTCAAATGTTGCTATCTGTTGTGTGTAGTGTAGTGTCATATAATCATTAATGGAATGTTGAACACAAGACGTGTTAGAAGAGCACAGTTTCTGAACCTTTGGACTTGAAACATATCCTCACTGTTGATAAAGAATTGAAGTCAGTTGGTGATGTCAGGTAGCTCAGTAAATGGTCTTATTTCTCTACACAGAATGAGACTGTCTGATTCCTGGCCTTTTTGCATGGTTTTTAGGTGGCGGTGTGATGGGTGCTCCCGGCTGGAATGCGGCGCTCACTGTCATGGCTGACCTGAAATGTCACAAAAACATGTGACAGCATTAGCATGTGGTCTGCTCAACAAGGTTTAGTCTCTCTTTTGTCAGATTTTTCTGATTTTGATTAGTATGAGCAATACATTTCTACACTCTCTTTATCTTTTTGATCAGCTGTCTCTCTGCCATATTATGTTGCACATCCTATTTACAAGTATATCTGAAAAGAAAAAGGCAATTACTGGTTGATTTAGTAATACATCTAATAAGAAATGAAATACACAAACTCTTTGCACTGGATATTAGATATCACTCCTGATAATGAACATTGGTGCAGAATTGCCACACAAAATCCTGGCCATCTAAGTGAACCAGTGGAAAATCTGAAAGTCATACTAATGACTGAATGAAGACACGTGCATTTTTAGAATAAATGATACTTGTCTTAATAAACAGAATAAACTATTACCATGGAAATGATGCGCTGTGGAAGTTTTTCTAACTTTGTATGAATAAATGTAAATTATTTCAAGAAAATGTGTTGCATTTTCTTTAAACTATGCATAATGTTGCACTTTGTGTTGCCTTTATTCTACAGATGTGACATTTTAGGGCGTCAGAGTAGAAATCAAATAGGTCTTCTTTACAAATGATTTGCCGAGTTGTCATGGTAGGAAAACCCAGGTGTGCCTAATAACACCAACAACGGCTCTGTTCTATTCAAGAGTCCCAGGACCTTAAAACTGAAACGGTTAAATGGAATCCAGCCATTAATTTTAATATTTACCCCTGTACTATTGTGAAATGTCAAAAGGTCTACCTGGATGTGAAAAAGGCCTATTTATTCACAGGACTGGGTGACTGTGGGTCTAGATGTAGAGCAGGTCACCCACTAGTCACACAGTTGACAGTTAGAGTAAACCCCCAGCTTCTCCTGTCCACATGTTGAACTGGCCTTTGGCAAAACTGAACCCCAAATTGCTGCCAATGAGTAGATCAGCACCTTGCTTGTTATGGTTATGAATGGGTGAATGACAGGCAAACTGTATAAATACAGTAGCCTACACTCCATTCAGTATTTTCATATACACATAAAACAACAATTATATTACTTTTTAATGTGGACTAATGGTTTTTCTACAAGGGTCTTTTCAATCACCATTTTTGTCATGTGACATCACTGCAGCACACATATTCAATTAGCCCAGGATATGCCAAAAAAAAACAAACAAATAAACTTTGCTGTATATATACAGTGGGGCAAATAAGTATTTGATACACTGCCGATTTTTCAAGTTTTCCCACTTACAGAGAATGGACGGATCTGTAATTTTCATCATAGGTACACCTCAACTGTGGGAGACAGAATCTACAAAAAAATTGCAGTAAATCACATTGTTAGATTTTTAAATAATTTATTTCCGTTTTATTGCCTGAATTAAGTATTTGATCACCTACCAACCAGCAAGAATTCTGGCTCTCAAGACCTGTTAGTTTGTCTTTAAGAAGCCCTCCTATCCTCCACTCATTGCATGTATTAATTGCACCTGATTGAACTTGTTACCTGTATAAAAGACACCTGTCCACACACTCAGTCTATGAGACTCCAACTTCTCCACTATGGGCAAGACCAAAGAGCTGTTTAATGACACTAGGGACAAAATTGTAGACCTGCACAAGGCTGGGATGGGCTACAGGACAATAGGCAAACAGCTTGGTGAGAAGGCAACAACTGTTGGTACAATTATTAAAAAATGGAAGAAATTCAAGATGATTGTCAATCTCCCTCGGACTGGGGCTCCATGGAAGATCTCGCTTTGTGGAGTATCAACACATATATATATATACACAGAGAAAGAAGAGAGAAAGGTGAGGGATCAGCCTAGAACTACACGGGAGGACCTGGTCAATGACATGAAGAGAGCTGGGACCGCAGTCTTAACGGTTACCATTAGTAACACACTACACCGTCATGGCTTAAAATCCTGCAGTGCACGCAAAGTCCCTCTGCTCAAGCCAGCGCATGTCCAGGCCCGTCTGAAGTTTACCAAAGACCATCTGGATGATCCAGAGGAGGCATGGGAGAAGGTCATGTGGTCAGATGAGACCAAAATAGAACTTTTTGGTATAAACTCCACTCA